AAGACATGTGTTTCTCTTTTTTGGTTGCTGAGTAATATTCCATTGTATATATGTACCACATCTTTTTAATCCAGTCATCTACTTTTGGACATTTGGGCTGCTTCCATGTTTTTCCAATTGTAAATAAAGCAGCAGTAAACATAGGTATACCCCCAATTCTCATATGGATAAATAAATAAATCTTTTAAAAATGTTTATATGAAAATTTTTACATCTGGCATAATGCAAGCCACAAAAAACTTCTTATATATAAATGTTAGAGTCTTATACACTTTGAAGCTCATATTTATTGATTTATAATTTATGTACAGTAAAATTTACTTTTCTGGAGGTGTGTGGTTCACTGAGTTTTGAAAAACAGTTGCATTACCATCACCACCACATTGATAAACTGAATGTTTTATCAACCCAAATTTCCCTCATGCTCCTTTGTACTTGTGCTCTTCACCTTCTCAGTCTCTGGCAGTCACACTCCCACTCCACTTGGAGATTCACATATACATTGAATGATAAAGGTACTAAGAAGTCAGGGAATAAGCTATCTCAGATTAGTGGATCCAACCCTCTTTTTAATGTATCTTATTAATGGCATGCTTGGAAAATGTTTGACATGTTCTTTGTAATTATGTAAAAATAATTATTTCTATTTTAAAGCAGGACAAAAAGAACAAGCTGTGGAATGGTATAAGAAGGGCATTGAAGAACTGGAAAAAGGAATAGCTGTAATAGTTACAGGACAAGGTAAAATTATATTTACTTTTGTAGTCCTCTCATTATATTCACAATGATTGTTTGATTTCAGATCTATCTATTTTAATAAAAGTATTTACAGACTTTAAATATTATTAATAGCTATAGATGTTGTACAGTTAATGCTCTATTACTTGTGCTGAAAGTGAAGTTGTAATCACTTGTACTCAGACTTGATTACCTGTAATAGTATAACAATAACCCCTGTATTACTTATTCCCTGCTTGAACTTACTATTGGTTATATTTAAGCCATAATTTTGAAATTTGGTTCTTTCTTCATTGTGAGGGCAGATTAAGGAGTGGTTAATTCACTTTTGCACTTTTGGGTAATAACTTGACTACATGTTATACTATAAACTATGAATATGTTATTTTGTTTCATACTTAGCTTTTTAAAACCAAAGCAGTTAGTTCTCATCTTTACTTTCCTGTCACCTCAAATGAAAAATTAAAGTCTAATATTATTTTTAAAAATATAAATAGCATTTATTGTTTACCTCTTATATGCTCAAGCATAATGTAAGTACTTCAGACATAGTCACTTAATTTTCATCACAGTCTCACACTCTGAGGCTGCTGCTGTTACTCTTATTTTTCCTTGTAAATAAGTACAAGGAAGTTAAATAACTTGATTAAGATCTTATAGGTAGCATGTGGAAGGGTCAAGCTATGAACCCAGACAATCTGACTTCAGAACCTGATTTCTATTTTTTTTTCAAGATTTATTTATTCATACATACAGAACTGAGCTACAGGCCAGAGGTGCGGGTGGTGAGAGGATTCACCAGAGACAGAGTGGGGAGCAGAACAGGCAAATTGACTGAAATACTCTGCAGGCAGGTCAGGCGAGGTCTACCATGAGGATCAGCTTCCTGGCCAGGGGTCAAGCTTGTGCTGCAGCGGCTGCGATAGCTTCATACTACTATGCTTGAACCCATTGCACCACCAGGGAGGGCCCTGAGCCTGATTTCTTAAATAATATGGTCTGAATATTGTGTCACACATTAATAACACTATTTGTGTTTATCATAGCTAAAATAAGTTCAGAAGCAAACATTATAATATTAAGCTCACAATCTTAGTTTTATGGATCAAACCACACTTGATCTTAGCCAAAAGGTGGAGAAGCAGTTATAATGGATCAGTACACTGAATGGATGCTTGCTGGCTGATTCATCTGATGATATTAGATAATCTCTGATAATCAGTGTGCCCAATATTTACCATGCTATTCTTGCCTCCTCCTCACCTTCTTTCATCTTGACTACTTCTCTACCTCCTGGTCTCTAATGAAACAGAACAGAATAGAATATGTGAATAGGGTGATTGGCGCTCAGAGACTTTGATGAGTTAATGAGCATGACATTATAAATTGGTACAAACAAAATATGTTTGTTGTTCTTTTAAATTATATAGAAAAACTAGAAGAAAATGAGTTGGTTGTAAGGAAAATTGTAATTTATTGAATCAAAAATGCATTTGACCCCTAAATTATGAATTCTTGTAAGCCAGTATTACCTCAATTAAAATAACTTTTATTGTACTACTGGTGAGAAAAACAATGACTCAGTTAATCTAGGACACATTCTCTTTTTATTGCTTAAATTTTGAATTTTAACTTTATTGAATATCCTGTCTTATTCTTAATTGTACATGGCTATAAATGTTATAGCAATATTAATAACAAATTTTTAAATAATAAATTTAAATTTGTCCCAGGAAAGGACTAACTCTGTTATGAATGCAGCCTGATTGATAACATTAGTAAGTTGGCAACAGTTTAAAACACCTCCTAATTTCTGAGTTTTTAAAATGTTGGAGAAGAAATGTGTCTGAAATATGTCATGAAATATACATGAAGTCATCGTAAGGAACTATAATTGATTTGTTTTAGGTATTCAAAAGTAATATTTTCAAAATTTCTTTATAAAGACTTTGAGTCCCATGAAATTAGTTTGGGCTGATATTCTATCTTGATATAGTATTTGTAGAAAATGTAGGTGTTTTATTTCTTTTCCTGTTTTTTTCTTTCAGGTGAACAGTGTGAAAGAGCTAGACGCCTTCAAGCTAAAATGATGACTAACTTGATTATGGCCAAGGATCGTTTACAACTTCTAGGTATCAATTAATGAGTTGGATAATTGTAATGATATGTTTTTAGAAAAATCTATTAAACTTTAAATGTAAGCTGGAAATAGATGATCTTGAAAATGTGATCTAGCCTTTTTTTAACTAGGATTTCTAACATACACAAAACAGAAGAGTATAATCAACTCCTAGTTCTCTATCAGTCAGCTTTTTTTTTTTTAAAGTATATTCAGTAGGTTATAATTTATTTAAAGATTTATTTATTTGTTCATACAGAACAGGGGTACAGGCCAGAGGCTCAGGGGCGGTGAGAGGCTTCACCAGAGACAGAGTGGGGAGCAGAACAGGCAGATCGACGAAAGCACACTGCTGAGGGGAGCAGCGGGCGGGTCAGGAGAGGTCTGCCATGCCATGTGGTCACCTCCAGGGCAGGCGGGAATCGAACTCATGCTTAAGTGGTTTTAGCTTCTCAGTGCTGTGCTTTAACCTGCTGCGCCACCAGGGAGGGCCCAGTCAGCTTTTTTAAAAATAATTTTTTTTTATTTTATGCATACAGAACTGGCCAGAGGTGAAGGGGTGGTGAGAAAATTCACCATAGACAGAGTGGAGAGTAGAACAGGCAGGTCCCAAAATACACTCCTGAGGAGAGCAGCAGGTGAGACAGGAGAGGTCTGCTGTGCCATAAGGGTCACCTCCCAGCCAGGATTGAACTCCTCCTGAAGCAGCTGTTGCTAGCTTCATAGTGCTGCTCTTTAACCCATTGTGCCACAAGGCAGGGCCCCCATCATTCAGCTTTTATAATTACCGACCTATAATCAGTCTTGATTTACCCAAAAAGACAAGTAAACAACCTATGGCTTGAACCCTGTTTCTATTGAGTAAAGTGAATTTATCTGTCTATCTGTCTGTCTATCTATCTATCTATTTATTTATTTATAGAAGAGATGAGGTATAGTCCACAGATGCAGGGGGTTGAAGGGGATAAGAGGACTCACTAGTGACAGAGCAGAATGGGTAGATTGAGTAAAATACTCTAATGAGGAGAGCTGCGAGTGAGAGGTCTGCTGCACCATATGTGGATTAGCTCCCTGGTCAGGGATCAAACTGGGGCTGCAGTGATGATGGGTTATAATGCTGAGATTTAACCCCTATGCTACCAGGGAGGCCCCCTATTGAGTGGTTTTATTGGTATACAGAATTCCTTTTGTGTTATTTAACTGCTTTCATTCTTTGATGACAGTTGAGTAGCTGATGGAGATCATATGCCCTTAAAGTCTTCTAATATGTAGTTTAGTTAATGTTTTAGTATTTATTGTCTCTTAATACAGGAAGTATGCCATTGTCAGTTTATATTCCTAACCATTCCTCTCCTTCATATTAAGACAAATTCTTGACACTTTTATATCGTTTATAAATATTTTATGTTATATCTATTTAAAAGATAATTACTTGAAGAGAATGTATCCAAAATGTCACTATCACGCCTACAAATAACCAGTGGCTGCTGTCATTATTAATCAAGAGTTTTTGTTCGTGCTGTTACTTCCTGATACATCTTTTCTCCCCAACATTCTTTAATGACTTTTATTTATCTTTTAAAAATATTTATGTTCCCCATTTTAGGTTTTATTTCTTCCAGCAACATTTCTCTGATACTGTTCTTCCACCCCTACAAAAATTGCATATTTCCATCCTACAGCAATGATGATTCACTCTTCTAAAGTTCTCCCTCCCTTATTGTATCATAAGAACATTAAAGAGGATCATTTTATACAATTATCAGTCATCTATATTTGAAGGTTTGTTCAACTTTCAAATATAATCTTAATCCAACTACTTCTCCAGTTATCAGCCTGCTCCAAGCCTCCATTATTTTTCTCCTAAATTCGTCAAGAGGGGTCCTAGCTGGTCTCCCTTAGTGTCTATATGTAAAAAAGCAGCCAGAGTGATCTTTTAAAATTAAAGTAAGATTATATCATTCATTTCTTTCATATCTTTTTAGCTACTCACCATTTCACAGTAATAAAATCTCTGATATTCATGATGGTTTGTAAGGCTCTCCCTGCTGTGACAGCTGTCCCTCCCTCCCCTATTTACTAGTTCTCTGACTTCTTTTCTACCATTACTGTACTTACTGGGGTACATTGGCCTCTTTGCTGCTTGTCAAACCTATTTATGCTTACAGAACTGGGGTACAGGCCAGAGGTGCAGGGGTTGTGAGAGAATTCACCAGAGACAGAGTGGGAAGCAGAATAGGCAGATGGATGAAGTACACTGCTGAGGAGTGCAACGGGCAGCGCCATGTGGATCACCTCCAGGGCGGAGATCAAACTCTCATTGAAGTGGCCACAGCCAACTTCGCAGTGCTGCACTCCAACCCACTGAACCACCAAGGAGAGCCCCAGATGTGTCTGCTTACGGCCTTGCATTAACTCCTCTCTGGATTATTTTTCTCCCAGATATCATACTGTATGGCTGACTTAGGTCAACATCTCAAAGAAACAACCTGTCTATTGTACACAAAACTAAAACCCCAAACTACCTTATTTACTGCTAATCCTTTGTTTTTCTCTTCCCTCCCCACCCCAAGCACCTTCTACCAGATGACTTATTTTTATGTTTACTACCTGTTGTTTTCCCCTGCTGGACTATAAACTCTATGAAAGAGAAATTCTTGTCTACATCCTAAGTGCCTAGAACAGTGCCCAATTGAGTTTACTTTCTTTAAGAAAAATGAGTTGGAACACATTAGCAATATACTGCTACTATGTGTTTCCACACATATAAATCTGTACCTTACACTCGTAAAAACAAGTTGTATGGCTTTTTTTTTTCCTAGCTATTATTAAAACTAAGGATTTAATATGCTTATTTTTATTAGATAATGAATGTGTGATTTTTTTGGTGATATTTCATTGAAGAGAATGTTAAATGATAAAGAAGACATTTGCAAATTACTGTTTTTTTCTAATTTATATCTTTTGCCAACACAAACAGTTTCTCAGTATGGTGATTTTAAAAGTATAATCATTGAGAAAAATCAGATGACCTACCTGTTAACTAACAAAACAGAAAAAAAGCTCCAAGGTATATTGTATCAGCCAGTTCTAGGATACAAAAGCTTTGCAGTACTTTGTGCTTTGTGCAAAAAGGGTAGCTGCTATTTAACCTGTCCCAAAGGTGTGTGTCGTTGTACCATAAACCAAGCATGGCGCCTGCTTGTCTGACCTTAGAAATAAAAGTTTGGGAGAGTTAGAATAAATATATGTGCAGCATTTTTGGACATATTCATGTATTTCCTTGTATTGCTCCCTGTACAGAAGAAAAGAATCTGTATTGTGACAACTTGGATAATTTTAACAAACTAAGTAGTAAAAATTCACCACCTGTTATGAATGAGACACAATACATATTTTATGTATATGAATTTATTTAATTCTTGTGATGCTCAGAAAACTGAGACTAAAGCAAGTTCATACTAATAACTGGATTGATTTAAATGGGGGAAGAGAGTGCACTCATTTTGTAGAACAGCCAAGAAGCTTATACTGCTGCTTTCTTGGGCTTCAAGCACTAGCTGTAGGGAGCTACATCTTGGAAGAATTTGTTATTTGAAGTAGGAATGAAGTTGAATTGATCCTCTTCAACTTTTGATCATTAAAAATAAAAAGTAATATAAGCATGCGCCACAAAATTAAAATATTTTGAGGATGAAACACATCCATCCCATGTACTATACCCCGGCTCATTTCTTCTCCCCAGTGGCAACTGCTATTATCAATTTCTCCAGACTGTTTTTAGAGATAATCTTCATGCGTCTAAGTATGCACAAGTATATATTTATATATATATACATATATATTTTTTCATTATTTTTCATTTTGTACATCTTTTTTTTTAAGATTTATTTATTCATACAGAACTGGGGTACAGGCCAGAGATGCGGAGGGTGAGAGGCTTCACCAGAGATAGAGCGAGGAGCAGAACAGGCAGATTGACTAAGTACACTGCTGAGGGGAGGAGCGGGCAGGTCAGAAGAGGTCTGCCGCGCCATGTGATCACCTCCGGGGCAGGCGGGGATCGAACTCACACAGAAGTGGCTTTAGCTTCTTAGTGCTGGGCTTTAACCCGCTGCGCCACCAGAGAGGGCCCATTTTGTACATCTTTTATCTCAGTTGTAATCCCCATAAACTTCCCACCACCACTTCACCCATGTATCGTCACCATAGTTCCATGGTCTCTTCTCGCCCCAGTTTTGATCTTGTTTCCCTGTCCTCCCTTGTAGAATGTCTCTGGTTTAGTTAGTTGATGTTCTTTTTACTTTATTACAATTTCTCTATCTTTTTCTCTTTCCATATATACGTATGTATGTATATATCCCACCCCCCTCCCTTACATTCTGTTATAAGTGAAACCATCAGTATTTTTCTTTTTCTTTCTGGTTTATTTCACTAAGCATGATCTTTCCCAATTCCATCCATGTTGCCACAAATGGCATGAGTTTATGTTTTTTGATTGCCGAGTAATAATTCTGTTGTGTATACATACCACATCTTCTTGAACCAGTCATCTATTTTTGGACATTTGGGTTGATTCCACATCTTTCCAGTTGTAAACAGGACAGCAATAAACATAGGGGTGCAGATGTCCTTTTGAATTATTGTTTTGTGTCCTTTGGATAGATACCTAGGAGTGGAATTGCTGGATTATAGAGAAGCACCATTTTTAGCAGTTTGAGAAACCTACACACAGCTTTCCATAGTGGTTGCACCATTTTGCATTCCCACCATCAATGCAGGAAAGATCCTTTTCTCCACACCCTCGCCAACATTTATTGTTGCTTGTTTTGTTTTTTTTTTTATTAATGAAAAGTGACTTTAATACAGTGAATATACAATATGGAACACAAAGAATATAACTTCTAAATCAAACACCTGAAGTTACCCATCCCCTCGTGGGCAAAAGTCAACCTAAAAGGGATTGGCCCAAAGCAAGGTCTGAAAGCCTGCCACAAGACTAAAGCACCTTCTGGATAGGACCCATGGAAAAGGGTCAGAAATGGCCAGACAAATCTGGGAGGAAAAGAGCAAAATCAAAATCAATATAAACACTGCCATAGTCACTTCCCTACAAGTATCTCACCCACATCTGCCTTAACCAGTCCAGGGTCAGGAAACAAGCCCAGTTTCTACATCACATGCTTGCTGCTCCATGTGGCTTCCTCAGGTCTCCTCCTTCTCCATCTGCCCCCCTGTTGCTTGTTTTTTTAACATGTGCCATTCTCACTGATGTAAGGGGGTATTTCATTGTGGTTTTAATCTGCATTTCCCTTATTACAAGTGATATTGAGCATTTTTTTTTAAAGATTTATTTATTTATGCATACAGAGTTGGGGTACAGGCCAGAGATGCAGAGGGTGAGAGGATTCACCAGAGACAGAGCGGGGAGCAGAACAGGCAGATCGACGAAGTACACTGCTGAGGGGAGCAGTGGGCGGGTCAGGAGAGGTCTGCCACGCCATGTGGATCTCCTCCAGGGCAGGCGGGAATCGAACTCATGAGGAACTGATTTCAGCTTCTTTGTGCAGTGCTTTAACCCGCTGCGCCACCAGGGAGGGCCCGATATTGAGCATTTTTTATATGCCTGTTGGCCATTTGCATTTCCTGTTTGGAGAAGTGTCTTTTTAGCTCTCCTGCCCATTTTTTAAAAAATAATAGTTTATCTTTACATTATTTTGTGCCTTTTTCCATCTCAGTTGTAATCCCCGTGGGCTTCCCATCACCAAATCACCCATCATAATAGGTCATATGGAAGCTCCATTTTTAGCAGTTTGAGAAACCTCCAGTTTTCCATAGTGGTTGTACTAGTTTGCATTCCCACCAGCAGTGCAGTAGAGTTCCTTTTTCTCCACATCCTTGCCAAAATTTACTGTTGGCTAGTTGTTTTTAAGATGTGCCATTCTCACTGAGGTGAGGTGGTAGCTCATTGTGGTTTTCATTTTTGTCTCACTTATTATAAATGATGTTGAACATTTTTTCATATGCTTGTTGGCCATCTGCCTTTCCTCTTTGGAGAGTGTCTTTTTAGCTCTTCTGCTCATTTTCTGATGGATTCGTTTACTTCATATTTGAGTTTCATCATCTCTTTATATATCTTTATTATTAGTCCTTTATCATTCGTATTATGTGTGAAAATTTTCTTCCAGTCAGTGGGGTGTCTGTTTTATGTAATGTCTCTTGTTGTACAGAAGCTTTTCAATTTGATATAGTCCCAGCTGTTTATCCTTTCTTTCACTATTTTTGCTGTGGGTGATGTACCTTTAGAGATGTCACTGAGGTGTATGTCATGTAGTGTTTCACCAGTATTTTCTTATATATATAATCTATGTTTCTTTTTGGGGAATGGTCTTTTTCTTCCCCACAGTTTCTTAGACTCCTTTGTCCCTTTCTTCTTCCCCTATTGACTTAACCTCAGAAGCCTCCTATGTGTACTTAAACACGTTAGGATATTGTACTCAAAGTTCTGCAAATACATAATTATGTTCTGCTTTATTGCCCCTTATTTATTTATTTAAAATATTTGTTTTATTTATTTTTTAAAGATTTATTTATGCATACAAGAACTGACGTACAGGCCAGAGGTGTGGTGATGAGAGGATTTGCTGAGACAGAGTGGGTAGCAATACAGGTATACTGACTGAAATACACTGCTGAGGGGAGCACAGGCAAGACAGGAGAGATCTGCTGTGCCATGTGGGTCAGTCACCTGGCAAGAGGTTGAACTAATGCTGCAGTGGCTGCTGATAGCTTCATGGTGCTGAGGCTTAACCTCTTGCTCTACCAGAGAGGCTCTACTATCTTTATTTTTTGCCTAATAGATGTTGTTGTCTCTGATTGTGACATTTTTTAGAGTTTTCTCTGTCTTTTTAAGCACTCTTCTGCTTTCCTGAGTTATCTTTTATCTTTTCAAATCCTGTAAACCCTTTTAGTATTTTCTTTTGTTGCCAACTACATTGTGTAAGTATCTAGATAATTGAGACCATATTCATTTTTAATACGCTGTTCCTACACAATATTTTGTTCATATTAGATATTCGTAAACTACTTGCTAGTGATGAGAGTGATAAGGAACTTCCTCACGTTACCAAACTTAAATATGGCATATTTTGAATATAGCCATTCACTTGTTAATTTCTTTTTATTTAAGATTGATTTATTTATGCATACAAACTGGGGTGTAGGCCGGAGGTGCAAGGGGTAAGAGGATTCATCAGAGCCAGAGTGGGGAGCAGAATAAGTGCGTCTACTGAAATACACTGCTGAGGGGAGCAGTGGATCAGACGGGAGGTCTGCTGTGCCATACAGGTCATCTCTCTGACACGACTGAAATTAGGTTTCAGTAGTTTGATAGCACTGAGACTTTAACCCCTGTGCTACCAGGCCCTTACTTGTTAATTTCTGTTGCTAATTCTAATGTCTTAGTTTTTACTAACTAAATTTTTATGAATTTTATAAAATGAAAAAATCCTTCTAATAACTTATAACACCTTGAATGATTTTTCATTTTCAGAAACCTTTTGTTACATATTATGTGTTTTTTTTCTTTTCGTTTATTTTGTTCTCTTTTTACCTCCCTCTGTTGCATAGAGAAGCTGCAACCAGTTTTGCAATTCTCCAAGTCACAAACGGATGTGTATAATGACAGTACTAACCTGACATGCCGCAATGGACATCTCCAGTCAGGTGGGTTTAGGCAGACTAACATGTAAAATAATACATGTAAGCTAGAATCCTGTTTAATCTGAGAGTTGACTTGATTTTATAATGATAGATTTGATTGTTTTTTGTTTCACAGGGCTATGTTGAAAATATAAAAACCTTATCGTTCATGGTATACAAGCATGCAACAGACAAAATACAGCTATTCCTAACATACTTTATTTGCATGTTTTGCAGCTTCTAATTCTGAGATTATAAAAATATTTCTTAAATTACTAAAATATTCTTTATATGACATGTTCAGTGTTTGTGTATTTTTATGGATATCAAGTTTTTATGTAATGTTTCTCGAAAAAATTTTAGTTTTTCTTTGTTATATATCAATGTTCACTGCATATCAATTTTCATATATACTATACACAAATATTTTATCATAGTACTTATTAGAAAAAATTTGCATTTAAAATATCACAGTATTATTATTTACTATGAGTGAAATTTATTTTCCTTGATCTTTTGGATAGATTTTTTGTTTGATTTGGTTCTCTGATATTTAGGTCTTTTTATAAATTAGTGACATTTTTTTAGTATTAGTTTCATGTTCAAGGCTTAGATTTTTTGTTTGTTTGTTTGTTTTATGCACACAAGAACTGGGACACAGGCCAGAGATACTGGGGGTGGGAGTGGATTCATCAGAGAGTGAGGAGCAGAACAGGTGGCTCTACTGAAATACACTGCTGAGGGAAGCAGTGGGAAGACCGGAAGAGGTCTGCTGTGCCATGTGGGTTAGCTCCCTGGCTGAGATCAAACTCATGTTGCTGTAGCTGGTGATAACTTGATAGCACTGAGATTTTAACCCCTGTACCACTAGGGAGGTCCCAAGGCTTCAAGTTTATTAAAGTATTACTTTGTTCAAATTGTAGCTGAAAGATCTCATTGTAAGCTGTAAGACAATTGTCTTCTCTATTCTAACATAATATAAACTTACATTTTAATAGAGAAGAGATTAAAAAGTGGATTTCTGTGAACAGAAAAGACATCATCACCGCTTTTCCTATGGTTTCATCTCTCCCTTAAGGAGTTAACATTTTAGTTGGGTCTTCCAATGTGGAAACCCACATCAGTATCTATATTCTTTTTCATATTCCTAATTTAAAATACTATTTTAATTATAGAGATAAATATTTTGCCTGTTTCTCTTAGTATGGCAGTGAAGGACTGACATTTTCATAAGAAACTTTTTGAAACAAAGAAATATAAGCATACCTACATAAAAATAATTTCCTAATACAAATACAGAGTTACTGAAGTACAAACTTGAGATCCTTACTATCTATCTTGCCAGAGTAAATAGCAAAAACTGGCTAGGGTGAACTAGTATTACTTTTTCTTGTTGCCTTGATTGTCCCTTGCTTCATTGTACATGTGAAAGGCTACTGTACTATTCTGCACCCTCCCCCTTCTTTCAAGGGGCAGTTTTCTCTTCCAGTATCTATCTAAAAAATCAAGCTGATTTCAAATCCTTAGAATCTGTGCTATGAATTCATTTGTGGTTGGCCCATACTTCATAGCTAATTTATGTAGCACTGGTATTCAGTAGTCACTGAGCTTTGGTGAATAAGCTGATTCATTCAGTTCTAGTTTATTAGTGTCACCCATTTCTGTAGCATTCTGTAATGTTTCACTTGGATGAATTAATTTATTTCAGAAAATAGTGATGCCAGAGTCTGCTTATTAATTTCTGAATGTGTTATCTAAATTATCCATTTTAAAAATAATGTCCAGTTTTCAACTCAAAATTATTAGACATGCAAAGAAATAGGAAAGTGTGACTCTTACTCAAGAAACTGACTCTTGAGTGGAGCCAGATACTGAATTTAGCAAAGCATCCTTTCTAAATATGTTCAAAGAATTACTTTATTTTTTTGTTGTTGTTCAAGAATTATAAGAAAATATTATCTCAGTGAACAAGCTTGGAATCTTAGTAGATAATATAAACAAACTACACAATAAAAATAATGGAAATTCTAAAATTGAAAAAACGTTGCTGAATGAAAAAAAACTTAATAGATGGCCTGAACAACTGATTGGAAATGTCAGAAGATTCACTCACCATGAACTTAGATCCGTATAACTAATTATTGATCCTATATTGTCAGAAAGCAGATTAGTGATTGCTTAGGAGCAGTAAGACAGTGGAGTGTAGATGGACCCAAGAAAACTTTTGGTTAGAATACAAAAATCTTGTATATTGATTTTAGTGGCGGTTTCAAAATTACATGCATCTTTACAAAATTACCAAATCATAAATTTTAAATATAGATTTTATAGATTGATAAAATTGATTAAATACTAGATTTATAAAGAAAAATTATTTTCACCTTCTACCTCATTTTCCCTACCCTTCTACCTCCACCAGGCTTTGGCTTATAAAATGTTTAACTCATTTTGCTATTTTTTCCCCTCATTATCCATACTATTTTTTCGGATATGATGCGTATATTGCCATTCTTGGCTTATTTTTATTGTATATTGACTTCTTATTCAAGTGAAAGAAAGTTTAATTTTCTTATGCCACCTTTACCTTTTGTCTCCATTTTTGTTTATTTAGCTTTCTCTACTTTCTACTTATAATGAGACATCACATTTAACATTATTATGACTTTGTAAATACTGTTTGCAGAAAGCCAAGTAGTATATTCTAATGATTTTCCTTTTGTGAGCTTTTCCACACCACAGATTTTCTTATTTTTTGTGTTCTCTAACTTCATTTCTAATTTTTAAATTACTTTCTTTGTTTATTTTTTATTTTCTATTTATTTATTTATACATACAAGACCTGGGGTGTAGGCCAAAGGTATGGGGGGGAAGGGTAGGTGTGAGAGCTTCCACCAGAGACAGAGTGGGGAGCAGAATAGGCGGATCTACTAAAATAGACTGCTGAAGGGAAAAGCAGGCAAGACAAGGGAGCTCTGCTGTGCCATGTGGGTCAGCTCCCTGCCGACTCATGCTCCAGTGGCTGGTGATAGCTTGATAGTGCTGTGTCTTTAACGCCTGCACCACCAGGGAGACCCCCTTTTGGTGTTTATTTCTTAACCAGAAAATCTCCATTAGTAGTCTTTTAGTATCATTTTATATTGTAAGTTGTCTCAGTCTTTATGATTTTTTAAAAACACCCTCGTTCTTAGTGACTAGATACAGAATTGATAAAGGTTAATACTTTTTCACTGTCAGCAGTTTAAACAACCTCCATTGCCTATTTACCTTTGTTGTTTTTAATGAAACGTCTACTCTCATTCTTAGTGTTGCTAATGACTTTTTCTATCCATGTGGTCTCAGGTCTATGTATTTTCTGTCTGAAGAAATTATTCTCCAGTCTCCTTTTGTTTCACTAACATGTGAATATATCATCATTGTAGACAGGTCTTGCTTTTCTTCATGTTTCTGCTTTTGCTATGCTATTCCTTTTCTTAGAATGTTTTCCTGTTTCCCATTATTAGTTTCCTCAACATGGGGTTTAGAATTTTTCATTTATTTACTGGAAAAAATTCTTAACAACCTTACTGCATTTTGAAGTTCCTTTGAGTTTTCGTGTCATTTGGGCATATCTTTACTAATTACCATGTATGTATTTATTCCCTATTTTTTTTCCTATACATGAGTTTTTGAGGCTATTTCCTTTCTTTCTTTTTCTGCTTTTTTCTATACCTAGTACACGCTGCAAACTGAACATTTCATATATTTGTTTGAAGAAATGAATGTTCAGTCTTAGGACTCTTGGGAACATAGGGATAATTTCAGCTTTTCATGACAGATAATTCTGGAATATTATTTATATGCTAAAAGATAATCTGCAGTGGGTGTATAATAATCTTCATGATTGTCATAATTTTTACTATTATTATTTCAAGTAAATGACTCACACTTGGTCTAGATATGTGTATTTGGGATAACTGGTCAAAATGGACCCTAGAGGTCTTGATTTTAGTCCTGTAATGCCAGTTTACCCCAGGTAGGCTGATTTTTTTTTCCAAAGATTTAGTTTATGTATGCATACAGAACTGGGGTACAGGCCAAAGGTACAGGGCTGGTGAGAGGATTCATCAGAGACAGTGGAGATCAGAACAGGCAGATGAGGGTAGTAGCAGGTGAGGCAGGAGAGATCTGATGCACCATGAGGGTCACCTCCCTGGCTTGGGATCGAACTCATATTGAAGCGACTGCTGCTAGCTTCATAGTGCTGCACTTTAACCATTGCACCACTAGGAGGGCCCTAGACTGTTTGATTTTTATAATAATTTATTTTAAAATAAATAATATATTTTAAAAATAAACTGACATCCTGAACAAATTCAGATTCCTTAATTTTTTAAAACATTATTCAGAAATTTTAGAAACAAAACCAAAATATTAGGCTTTTCTTTCAGATACACTAATATGCTCACCGAACATTGGTCTTCCCAATAAGCATTGTTATTAAGTTCTGGTATATATTATATAATTATTTAG